TCTGGCAGCCCAGCCAGGGGTCTGTGTGCTCCACAAGGCACAGGCTCAGCAGAGTCCCTGACAGAAGTGACATGGATGATTTTCTGTTCTATTACATTCAGCAATAATTACAACATGCCCTTGCTTCACTGCCTGCTCCTCTGCGGTTAAAATCTGCTCTGCTTCCATTGGAAAAAAATAATGATCCCTATGTTATAAAAACCATCTTGTCAGAGCATGTGGAGCATTTAGCATGAAAAATTATTTAGCTCCACTATTAAATGTCACATTGGACATGAATGTAAAATAAAATTTTAAATACTTCCCTTTTGGTATTACTTTGGTATTACATCGCAAAGCTAAACTGCTTTTCAGGCTTCCCTCAAGTGCATGAAAGACAAAACCTAGGCCTGATTCTGTTCCCGTGTGATTAACACATCCCCTCTGGACTGGCAGAACAGTAACACCTGGAATATTTGGAGACCCTGGAGCCCAAGCTCTGCCTCCACAGCCTGGGACATAGCGGTGCAGAGCTCTGGAGCTGGGCCAGGAGGCACCCAAGGACACAGCTCATACCTGCTGTGTTAGTCCTGCCCTTCCCGCAGAGCTCTGCTGCTGGACCTGGGGGAACCATTCAGGTCATTTCCATGTGAGTGGCCCTCAGGAAACACTCTGCAGGGGGGAGCAGGGAAGGCTTTGTTAGGCTGAGCAAGTTACCTCACCCCTGACTGGCCGGGCCCTGCTTTCATCACCTGTGAGATGCAGACTTGGTTTCTGCTGAGACTTGAACTGAAAGAGCAATCCCAAAAGCTTTGATTAGAGCCTGGACTCACCAGTGATGGTGTATGGTAAGTGCCTGGCAGGTGCAGGACTGGAGAACTCCTGGGGGTGGAGGAGAGAGTTTTGGGGAGTGCTCAACAAAATTACTTGGTTTTTTATGGATGGGCACCCACTTGGACTCCTGGATAAACTCACAGAAGGGCCAAAAAACCATTAGATTTGTAACTGTTCTCTCCAGACTTGCAAGAGTTCATGTATCACCAAATCAGAAAAGAATAGAGTAGATTAGAAGTGCTCTATGATATTTTCAAAGGTATAAAAATATTATTTACACTAAGCCTGTTTAGTAGGTAATAAACCATCAGACAAAAATACAGAAGAAAACATAAGGAACAGCCAACCCCATGTACATGCATACAAACCTCAGATATATTAATTCTTCTCCCAGGAGATCCCAGGGAAAACAAAAATCTTACTAAGAATCAAATTAAGCAAAGCACAAAGAAATTAAAATGGGCAAATTTTTATGTCCCACAGATGAGAGAAAACTGCAAATTGCCACTCCAGCTTTAAACAGCCAAAGCACAGGGAGAAGCCACAGGCAGACCCTAAAATGCTGGTTCAGTTGTCAATTGGGATTTCACACTGGATTATTTCTAAAATTATCTCTCAGCTGTCTACATGAAATTGCCAAGGAATTGGATATAGCTACTCCATATTACTTAACTCACAAATCCTAATTATTAATAACCAAGGTAATCAGCTTTTACAAGATTATTCTCTTGCACATACTTATTCACTGTGCTGCAATTACAAGGGTAATTTTGATTGCACCTCAGTGTTCCATTTCATACACAGTAAAAGAGAAGTAAAACCATACAATAAAATTGCCATCATAAGAAAAGTAAAATCAACTCTATAATTTAAGAGAAGAAAGAAATGTAAACATAGTAATTAACCCATCCTTCAAAGCCAGGTCACAGTGTGAAATCACTGAGGCACTTGTGTAGCAGTGCCCAAATCTGATAACAAGCCCACAAATAACAGTCAGATTAAACATCACTTTGGAAGGGTTACAGGGTTCAATATATACTTTTGTGTAAGATCTGAATGTGAAAATGTAAATGTTCATGCAGTAACTTACAGGAGATGTGTAAAGACTCGGGGTCGGGCCTGTGCTTTCTGTCAAACGAGAGAAGAGGAAGACGAATCCGTGGGCACTTTGTACATCCAGTTTCAGAACCATCTCAAACCTCCCCTCCAGCTCTGGGTTGTCTCTGGCATGTGCTGGGCTGGAGCTCTTCAATGCTGCAAACACCTGGAGATGTTGGGACACACCTGTAATTCAGTGTTTCTAAATAAACTGACTCAGTTTGCTGTGTCAGTGCTCCCTAACCCATACTTTGATCAGCCCTCTCTGTCCCTCAGTTTTGGGATGTAAGGAGGTGTGGAGCAGAACCTGTGCAGTGGGAACTGCAGCAGAGAGAATTCCAATGCAATGCTGCATCCCTTTGGAACCTTTCCCAAAGCCAGGCCCTGAACTAGCCATGAACACCCCTACAGCTTCAGAGCTGTGCAGGTGACCCTGGCTGCTGGTTGGGCCCATGGTCCCCCACTGCCTCCAGCCTCCTCAGGGGCATTTCCATCAACATCTGCCCTCTGTGCCTCCAAGAGAGGGGACAGGTGAAATGGCTCCAAGGGAAGTGCCCAGATTTTGGTTAATCCCCCAGGAATCACTGCATGTCCCGTCTGTGTTAACTGACAGCTAGGAAATAATAATAATAATAATACAAGTAACATTCTTTTGAAACTCCTCTCTTTCCCTGGCTTTGGGCAGCTGAAGAACAGCCAGCCCTGCTCAGATCAGAGCAGAATTAGCAGATGGGGGAATAAGGCTCTTACTGCCCCCCAAAACTCCTCCACAGCCCCAGCAGGGACAGAGTCAGCACAGGCGAAGAAAGGACGAGCTGTGAG